ATATATAATTATATAAAAAATTAACATATTTTATATACAATTATATATAAAAAATTTGTCCATTTATATAACATTTTTCCTCGGGTCTGTAAAAAAATTGATCTTCCAAAAAAAGATCAATTTCAAACTTGAACATTTATCTTTGAGATTTATTCTACTTTTAAAAATTAAAATATACTACTACAAAATTTACAAAATATACATTATACATTTACACATATATATGTATGATATATATGATATATATGATATGATATATATATATATATCATGAATGTATATATGAATGTATATACACACACACATATATATATAATTTATATTTTGTATATTTTATAGTAATGTATATTTTAATTTAAACAATTTTTTTTATTACATAAAATTATAATAATTCTATTTTGAATTAGACAAGTACTATTAGGAATTATAAATATTTGAAGGAGGGATTTTAAACAATTAAACTTTATAATTCTACGAATAAATAAACAAAATAAAATATATTTAAGTACAGTATTTTTATAAATAAAAATAATTATCTTAATATTATGAAACATAATGGCCCGTATTCAGAACGCGCTTTTATCGGTAAAAGCGCACTTTTATCTCTGAAATTCTATAATATGCATGACGTAAAGTATGGTATGTTAGCGTGCTAACATCGTTGTAAGCGCGTTCTGAATATAGGCCAATGTTTATATGTATTGAGTATATATTTTCATATACTTTAAACTAGTATTTGTATATAATTAAATGTTCCATAATATTGTTGTACAACTTGCAGAGATGCCAGTTGCACAAAATGAAGTCAAGTCTAGCTGGGCTGATGAAGTTGAAGAAGAGGGAGGAGCATTACCTCTGCCTTCAGAAGTCTATGAGAATGGTTTTAAAATTTTCACCGAGTACAAGTACAATCAAGATAATAAAAAAATCAAGGTTGTCCGTGCTTATAAGATAGAACGACGTATAGTGTCGAAAACGATTGCGGCCCGTAAGAATTGGGCAAAGTTTGGCGACTCTGGTGATGACAGACCAGGACCTAATCCAGCTACCACTGTTGGTGGTGAAGATGTTTTCATGCAATTTATATCTAGTAAGGAGGAAGAGAATAAAGTGGAAGAAGATTCACTGGACAAATTAAAAAGCATGGGCGACAAGGGAGTCGTTAAATGCCGTAATTGTAACGGCGATCACTGGACGTCTAAGTGTCCATATAAAGACACTGTCCTTGCTGGTGGTAGGTTTATTGTCAAAAGTCAATTGATACAAATACGAAATAAAATTTCATTATATCTTATACGAAAAATATTAGTTTAAACTCTGACTGAAGTAATATTTTTCGCAATAAATTATTTACGGGTTTTTAAGATACTTATTAGCGTTATTATTAATAGTGACAATCTAGTTTGAGATTATTAAAATATAAATAAAACTTTTATTTATATTTTAGTTATATAAATAATTTAAATTTCAGTTATATAAATGAATATATCAAATATACATTATTTTTGTACAATAATTGCTAAAATTCTATATTTTAGGAAAAGTACCAGATGATAAGAAACCTCTCGTTAATACTGGAGTACCCGGTGCAATGGCTGAACTTAAGCCACAGGGTGGCAAGTACGTGCCACCCGGTATGCGCGACGGCGGCAACAAACGCGGCGACTCGATGCAGATGCAGAGACGCGACGACACGACTGCTATACGTATTTCCAATCTCTCGCAAAGCACCACTGATGCAGATCTGGATGAGCTTGTAAAACCATTCGGTTCCGTAGTGAAACAGTTTCTCGCCAAAGAGAAGCTTTCTAATCTCTGCAAGGGTTTTGCATATGTACATTTCAAGCACAGAGCCGATGCAGCGAGAGCAATCGCCACTCTGGATGGTTACGGTTATGATCATCTAATTCTGAGCGTGGAATGGTCAAAGCCACAAGCTCAGAATAATTAAAGTGATGCAAACGACAGTTGCGAATAGGAAAGTGAAATTACTTAAAATAGGAAAGATTTTTATAACAAACGAACTGTATTTATGCATATATCTATATATGTTCTTATGATATGAAGTTGAAAGACAATAGAAAAATTTGTAAACTTTTTCTATACGGATTCATTTGTTAGGGATAAATATTTCGAGACAAGTAAACAGAAAGATAGTAATAGTTAGTTAAAAACATGCAAAACAAAAAGTCATGTACATACTAGTAGAGATTAGATAGACTAAATAGAAATTACATTTTCTTTTTCATTGGTAAGCGCTCTTTCAATCTTCCAAACAACTTTCATCAGCGAGAAACTATAGATTTTCTCTCACAGCGTTTATAAAGAGAACTGTGCATTATAGGAACATTTATCGCTGATAAAATCTTATTTAAATGATTTTCTTCAATTTCACTTTCAAGTGTTCCTATAATAAAAAGTAATTACTATAAAATCAATTTTTTTTAATTGCTTATACTAAAAAAATGTATTTATTATAATATCCAATGGTAATGGGCTATTTTCACTAATATAGATTAATTTTAATCTTAGTTCAACGTACTTTTCATCTTATCCTAAAAATTAGAAAAAAATAAAGAATAATTTGAACCGAGATTAAAGTTAATGTACATTGGTGGAAACGGATAAATGTAAAATTTTGCTGTCAACGCGTGACAGTAAAATCAGTATTTTTTTCGCCTGTGTTTGGTCCCGCGATTTTGAAACTGAATTGTGTATCAAATGATATCTTTTGATAAAACATCACAAAAAAATTTTTAATTGAAACTAGAAGTGGTTTAAGAGATATAAACCATATTTTATATACTGTTTATATACGAATGACGCACTCCAGCTCTATATTTTTGTAGGCGATCCAAGAAACCCCTATAAAATATTTTTTCTGTTATATAAGAGATCACGCTACTAAACTCGAAAATTATATTCAAATCTTATTTTGTTCGAAATTGTATCACACATCTTATCCTATACATTTATTTATATCATTGTAATATAATATAATGTTATAATATTGTATTTAATAATTTCTAATTAAAAAATGAAAAATTTCTTTTAGTATTAAATATACCATGTGAATAGACTGCGCGCGAATCCTACTTTTATTTTAAAATTTAGGTACGTAAATGTGTAAGTACATAAATATTGTAAATGTATAATATATATATATATACTATATATAGTAAATATATGTATATTATTAAATACATGTATTATATATAAAAAATATATAACAAAAAATATATAGAGATAAACTAGCTTATTCATTATAATTTTATTAAAATGTAAGATCTTTACTTTTGATATTGCAATGTATTTTGTTTATTACTTCAAAGCTACTTTATTTATTTGTGTGAAAAATAAAATTACATTAATAAATTGAAGTATATTTGTGTTATCAATTGAAAAATATTGAAATACATTGCAAATTCTTACGTGATGAATCGATTTCCTTAAGGGGGAGCACCAGGGTGACGGCCGAAAAAAAAGGCTATTATTGTAAATTTTTTTTTTAAATTAATAGCTTATATGAATTATTGTCTTTATATATTCAAAGTACATACATTTACAAAATTATAAAAAAAAATTCATTGAATAATATTAATATTTATAGCCTCAGTGCTCATTGATGTGCACCTCGTCTGAAAAAAGATGGGTCCATGGGCGCTCGTGTTGCGTCTGAACGGGAGCTCTGAAATAAATTTGTTTTTCTTTATTTTAAAGTATATGAGTGTGGTTTCAGTTGCACGTACGAATTTTTTGATAAAATAATTTTAAACAAAATGGCGCTGTTTTGAAGAAAAAGGTCGCAATTTTGCGATAAAAAATCGTTACTTTTTAAATTGTTTTTCAAAAACTAATAATCCGATTGAAAAATTCGTACGTGCAACTGAAGACAATTTCGTTGTTATATATATACAGGGTGGACCATCTGAAGTGATCCAGTCAAATATCTCGAAAACTAGTAGGGATAGAGAAAAATGTTTCGTATGAAAAGTTTAGGGT